CCTAAACTTGAGAATATTGAGATTAATGCGGTGCAAGAAATACCTGCTGTTATGCCAGGGATCCATCAAATTTCCTCAGACATTAGTGAGCTACAAATTCACTTTAGAGACTACGGTTATATTTATATGATTGTGTCAGTCTCTTTGTTGCTCATTATCCTACTGTGTCTTGTTTACCTATGCTATGCTAAAATTCGCTATGTCTTACGGATTAGGAGATCTTCTCCTTCCAGGAGAACTGAGGATGCTCAAGCATCTGTGAGGTTTATCTCATCTCCTACTCCTAAACCTGCAATTTATCCTAGATTAGAGATGGACTCCTCCACAGGAATCTTGTCCATTCGCTGATCACTTTCTGAAAAGGAAATTCGGCTGGAAAAGACAAACAAAAAAGAGAATCAGAGGCCAGAAATTCTTTTTACAATCTCTCTTATTGCCTTTACCCATATAAAACGCGGGTACGAAAAATGGCACTCTCTTTCTTTGACGCGATTTTATATTTACGCGTTTAACATCTCTTTAAACGGGTTATTGTCCTCAAGGACCAGTTGTTCTTCTTTCTTATCTTCGACGGCCTTATCCGCCTCTTCCAGCCCCAGCAGATCCTCCACTGGTTGGGCTTCCGGATCCTGCTGATCCTCCGGCGTCAGCATCCGCACCAGTTCCCGCATGTACGATGACTGTACAGAAAAACAAAAAAGAAAAAGCCCCAAGCAAAAGCATAAAAAATTATTGCATGCGCATTTTGTAATTACATGCTATTTGTTTTTACCTTGTCTGAAGGTTGAAACCCTTGGGGATCTAGCCCTTATATCTGCGTAATTCTGTGAGAAAACTTCAAATTCTTCATCATCAGAATCTAGCCCATTAAAAAATATATTGGGCATAGATCCTACTGTGCATTCCTTAACTTTAGCTTTGTCTAGCTTCAAAATTCTTTTCTTTCTCTGTTTTTTAAATACATGCACAAAAAAGCAAAGCAAGCACAAAAAAGCAAAAAAGCATTGTTAATCATTTTTTACTAAAAACAAAAAGAAAATTGGCTAACCTTGTTCCGTATGAACTTGACCAGCCAGACCAAGAAAACAGCCAAAGATGTAGCCCCTGCACCTCCAAGGCCCATGAAAACCAGAACCATGGCCGTCCACGGGTCCACGTCCGCCTCGACGTGCGCAACACCATGCTTGATGTTGACCGTCACCTCCGGCGTCGACGACGGTGCCCTGATGACGTGCGGCACCTCTTGGGCCACTACGACGCTTTGTTGCGTCGAGGGCGGCGCTCGGACCACGAACGGCGTTTTGCTCGCCGGCACGTGGACGACCGCCAAGTTGGCCGTCGGCGCCACTGGGCGAGGCTCATCTGTATATATAAAAATATTTTATTGAACAAAGGTGAAGGAATATATTTTTTTTTGTGTCTTGGTGTTGGTCAGGTGTTGGGTATGTGTCATGATGTTATGTGTGTGAATTGTGTTGCAATGTTTTTATGTCTGTGTGGAAAAGCTGAAACCAACTCACCAACCACCGGCGGAACCGCCGCCGTCGAAATCTCCGGCTCGGGTGGCACGACCTCCTCGCACCACCTCCACGGCGTCACCACTCGATCCATCTCGGACCGACGTCCGACGCAGACCGTCGGCGACAGCAACTTCACCTCCTACAAACAAGATGGCTGTCACACTGGTCTTGCTAAAAATCTTCCTGAAACTAACCTTCAAGTCCGCCTGCCTGACGCAGTCCAAGAACAGCGTCGCACCGACGAACGTCACGCGGCGCCCGTAGCCACCGGCGCCCCTCACCTCCTCGCCGCACACGTCCCGGCACACGAACGCCCCGTCTTCTGGACCACAGTCCGCTCCAGCAGCCACAACACCGACGATCAGCAACACCAACAGCCTCAGGAACGCCATCTGTGAAAAATTTCGAAAAATGCTATTATTTCTGAAAGGAAATTATTTTTTTTTGAACTCACTTTTCACTTGTTGAAGTTTTCCTTTAAAAAACTTGAAGATCCACAACAGCACGAAGTCACTGGTCAGTCGAACGATTCGCGAAACAATGTTTGAGGCTACCAACTCCAGGAGACCCATCAACTTCCAACGATTTCGTTCGACAGGAAGTCGTTACGACGCTGCGTCGTTCGAGACGAAAATCGTTAATTTAACGACCGAAAAATTTGAAAAAATTAATATAAGCTAACAATACTCACCAAAGCAAACCGCCAAAATTTCAGGCCCAACGGATCATCCGTTAACGAATGGCACTCGATGCCTACTGAAGAAGATATTTTCATTCTTCTTGATCCGAACATCTGTCGGATCCATGCCTGATTCCTCCTGATGGATAGCAATAACAATTGCCATTTCCATAAAGCCTTTATGGCTCCTGAAAGAAACAGCAACGGAAAATAGGGCACTGTCGCACTGAGTCTCGCACTTGGTTCACTTGTTGTTCTTTTTCTGCTGACTTTCACAAAAGGATGGAACCTTTTTTTTTATTGTGCGGGGTGAGTTTGTTATCTTAGAAATACATTAACTTACAGAATACCCTTTTTGGAAGTTTCAGAAGAAACCATTTAGAAAGCCTAGAAACGGAAATCATGGAAGCATAGATAATTGCTTCCTTTTCCTTTGTGAGAAGATTTGACAACTTCTCATGATTAGTTACAATAGCCTTCTTTACGGTAATTAGGGTACAATCAATCCTGGACCCCTGGTGAGCTCAACTCTGTGTGAAATCCAGTGATATTCGGATCCCTCGTTCATGTGGCGCATGGTCATTATTACTGAAGTATAACCAGCGCACTCATATTTCACTCAGAGTGATTTCCACATTATTTCCTTTCACGGATTGGGATTTCCGCTATTAAGGTCGCGTCGATTATTTCCTTTGTTCCCTCATCTAGGCTGGCTAGGCTTAAATACCCCTGCTTGGTGAAATCACAAGAGAGATCTCATCCAAGCTTCATACAGTAAACTCCATAGCCAAAGCCTTGCTAAAGCTCAAACCTATTTTAAAGTAAAGTACAAGCTGGACTTGTGTGTTTGTGTATTTGTATTGTTGTATTGAATGTTTGTATGTGGATGAGAATATTGTATAAAGATATTTGATCCAGAATAAGAACTTAGTTCTTTTATTCTTGACTCAGTCCTGTAATAGAAAGGACAACAAAGCCTTCCTAGGACTGCTCAAAATATTCTGGTCTAAATTTAAATGAAGGTATGCTTTCATTCAACAGTATGATTCAAAACATTTATCAGAGATCAATAAACAAGAAAAGAAGCACAATATCATTTATTTCCCACTTGTGATTTTTTGGATTTAGTTTAAATGAATCTAAATTTCTTGATTAAAAAAGAAACGTAATTTTTTAAATATGGAGCAGAGGTGTCAGAGGTCTCCAGCTATTGTCCTGTTATTTCTTTTTAATTTGCTTTCCTTCCATGAAACTTTAAAATTATTTACAGGGTGTCATGTATAGTAATCTTTTACAAATTTACTCTTTTTTCATTGACAAATGTTGTAAATTTAAACAGATAAAATTCAAAAAATATAATTTTTTTTGGAGATTCTTGTACAATTTTCAAAAATGTTTTTACATTTCTGGTTGTAATTCTGTCAAGTTTCAGCTGTTTGCATATTTAAAAATAATGAAATTTAGGAAACATCTTCATGCATACAACATTGTAGAAATTTGAAAATTGAATTTCTAATGAATTACCAAATTTGAAACAATGGAAAAAGAATTTTCAAATTTTAAAATCCAGAACAAATTAAAATTTTTAAAATTCCTCTTTGTGTCCTCAAAGAAAATTTGTCATTCTGCCTCTGTTTCCTGTTTTTATTTCTTTTTGTGAAATTTGCCCACATCAATGTGTGATGCTTTGAGTCAAGCCCCACTCTTTCTATACTGACAGTGACAAATGCTGTGCACAACTGTTCTTCTTTACCAATGTGGGAATGGAGAAAAAAGGCCTCTTGTATGAGTGCTTGGGTACAGAAATACTTTGGAATAATTTCTGCATATATTAACAAATGTATCCTCAAAGTTCAGGACTCATGAGTTGAAAATATAGTAGGAATCTTTGTTGCCCTTGGTCCTACAGAACATTTATTTTTACCCTTTTTTACTGAGTGATCCTCACAATCAATCCTAACTAGGATGCAGTTATTTCTCAGAAATCCTTGTAGCTACTTCATCAAAACTTCCCTTATCCCAAACTCTCCATGTACTTATTGCTGTTCAAGAAATTCAAACCATTGAGAGAATGGGTTGCAGAACACATTGGCAAGCCATTTCCTCAATGTTTTACAGCACAAAGCCCCCAATGTTTGCTGGGCTCTGAGGAATAAGTGATACCAGCATTTAAAAAATTGAAGTCAAGGTCCAGAGATGAGTATACTCTGAACTGTTTGTATTTTAAACTATATTTATTTGAAAATTAAATTAAATTCACATTCTGAGGGTGGAAAATCCTAGCTGCAGCAAAATGGCTGATTAAACAATCCCTCAATTCTCACTTTCGTTGTTTTTTTTCTATGAAACATTTGATTCTGTTTTCATAGCAATGATTTTCTTATTTCTGTCCTGTTTTCGTTTGGTTTTTTTCCATCATATGCACTGAAACTCCCATTAGCAGAGGTTGATTTCAGTGAACTGATCTTCGGAAATCTTCGAGCTCTGGGCAGGAACACAGTGAATGAGAAATCCAGAAAAATACAGTACTCAACAATTGTGTACTCCAGGGTTTAGGAAATGAGAATAAATTCAATTTAATCATTCTGGCATCCTGCAGACATTTTGTGATGGCGCATTGCGGTCAAAAGAGTCAGACTGTTATATCTTCAAAATTTTCACACTATCAAAAATGCGATGCATCAATTTTTCTAGAACGTAGTTTGAACTGCACAGGACCGTGAACTTTTTGAGTGTGGATCAGTGTGGACGGTCCAGCAATCAAGAAAAAAAAAGCAAAGCTATCATTATTTGAAGGCATTAATGAGTTTTTGGGAGCTTCAAAAAATCAAGTTATAATGACAGAACGATTAACTTGAATATATCAAGTGTATTCATCACATCATGGAAAAATTGAATGGTATCACTCGAACTCCTCCCCAGCAGAAGAGATACGGACAGTCGACGTCTATTGATCCACCAGACATTTCGAAAATTCGAAATATCCGGCAATCCATCAGTGAAACAGAGATTGGAATAATCAGCCAGATGAGCTGCTGGAGAACTTCTTGAACTTGGGGTACTTCTTGGGGAACTTGATCTTGCCTGAACTGCTGGAGCTGGAAGAGGGGAACTTCACCTTCACCTTCTTCACTAGCTTGTGTCCCTTGAGTTTGTAGCCGACGACTTTGAATTTAGGTCCACCGCTGCTGCTACTGCTGGAAAAGCCTCTGCCTCTGTGACATTCCAACGAAATATATCTTTCATCAAAACAGTTGTCCCATAATGAGGAATGTAGTGTTTTCTCATTCTGCAAACTAAGAATTCAACTAACTGAGCAGCATCTTCTTGAACAGAACCTTCATCGTGTGATTCAGACTTGCTTGTTGCTGGAGGCTTATTGGATTGATCTTCTTTGGCTGCTGCCGATGACACACATGCAGAGAAGAAGACAGCGAAGAGAACAACAGCCAGAACCTGACAAGAAAAGAAGAAGTAACACGTCATGTTTCGAATGCAAAAACAGAAGCAACTGGAGGAATAATGGAATTCAAACGCAAACCTTTGAGTATTTCGCGTTCATGATTTTTGGACGGTTTTGAAGATTTTTCTCTCAATGTTTTCTTCTCTTTTAATGCCTTCTGAGCTGATGAGATACGAGCGAGTGAATGACTTCATTTCTGCCGCGCTCCGGTTTTATACCCACTTTAACCACCATCAATAAAAATAATAGGGAGAGGTGGAGAAAGAAGTGAAACAGGATTGGCCACGAAATCAGCTTCAGCAAAAGTGTTCCATTTTCGCAACATTGCCATCAGAAATCCGCACCTCATTTACCTTCCCTAAAAGTAATTCCGGTGATCATGACCACACAGACTGACCTGATTATGCTCTATTGTTACGTACGCGTCACAGGTGTTTGGTTATTATTAGTGACTGAATTCACTGCCAAGGCTGGAAAATAAGTCCAAACCCTGGGGAAAACGAAACCAATGACCAGGATGGAAATTTAAATGGGCTGTTGCCAAATTTCACTCAGCCAGGTGCTGAATATACTCGACGTCATCGCAAACGTACGTACCGTATCGAAAACATTCACTCGGACCCGTAAATAAAGAAGAAATGCACTGCACTTGCAAACATGAAGTTCTTTCAGGTGAGTTTCATTTTTTGCATTGGTCGTTTCTTGGACATTTTCTCTAGGTTCAATATAATGTTGGTTGAATACTTTAGATCTTTTTTAGAGATATTTGCTTCTGTAATCTTCCTCGCTTTCAGCTTGGTACTAGCGTTTGCTGACGAAGGCTACGGCTCGCAAATGTCCATCAGCAAAAGTCATCAAGTACAAGACGAAAGGCAAGCAGTCACCTCTGAGACTTGGTTTCTTCTCAATAATCATAATGCCTTTTTTATATACAGTATTTATGACGATGATTGTTCATAGTCACTTTCAAATGCGCAATGCATCAATATTTCATGTACGAATAAACATGATTCATGGTTGTTCATGAGGGTGTCGATGCTTCTCGAGCAGCAATAGCTCGTCGGGGCCTAATTCGGGGACGAAGAAGCTGCGGGCACAACTAATTTGTTGTCATCCAGTCCCATCATCTGACTTATCCCCTTTCAACTACTGAACTCTACTTTTCTGAAATCTTTTCTTTTTATCCCGAATGAATCACCTAACAAGGAATTAAAAAGTAAAATTGTAAAGCAAGTAATCTTGTTTTCAACCCTGGACTCACCTCCCTCCCAAAGAAAAACGCAGGAAATGCGTGGATATCAGGCGCAAAAGAAATGAGGACCAGCGCTAACTGGGTTACATTACCAAACCCCTAGATATGCACTGTTCCATCCTGCCGATAATTTGCGCAACTTTGTGGTTTCATCAGAGCATATAGTTGCAGACTGGCTGGACTCACTTTGTCATCCATGGTCTCTTCTCTGCATAAATACAGCGTCGACACACGCAGAATCATCCCAGTCACATCTCGAACTCCAAAGCTACCAATCCTCAATTTTAAAGTGAAACAAATCTGTGTTTTCAGAAAAAAAACTCAGCCTCAACCAACATGCAGCTATCAAAAGTGAGTGCCAGAGTTTCTAATGAGAGTCAGAAAAGTGTTTTCAACTGT